TCTTTTTCACTAGTACGAATACTAATTTGATTTATAATTGACCAGTGGTTATTTACAAGTTATTAGTAACATGTAAGACTTTTTAGTTTAATTTGTTTGAAATTTAAGATTTGTTATTTAACCTCTATTAATTCTGGTTCAGCTAGCTCGGCTTACAATCTTATAACATTATAACTTATAAGGATGATATATATCAGTGAATTCCATTTCTTTATAGTGGAGGTATGTATTTGCTGGTTCTTCGAACGCATTTGGCTAATATAATGGAATTTTATCTTAATGTTTCTTAGTTACATGATTGTCAAGTCTTTTCTGGTGAAAGAAAAAATTTATTCATCATCACCATGAAAAAAACTTACAAAACCAGAACAAAATCGTTAGCTAACTGATGTTTGTTTAAAGTATATATATTTTTATATATATCGCCTCATATCTTACTTTTGTTTCGTGGATTTAGGATGTGAAATGCGTTGATTTATGTTAATTTGATGTGTTTTTATGTGTAGGAATGATCCGGGAGCAATAGGGGGCGGATTGTGCAAAATTAGAGCCAAAACAGACAAAAACAGGAAAGTTGGACATTTCAGCGCCACAGGTGGCGCCTAGGCCTACCTGTGGCGCCAGAAACAGAATGTAAAATTTTACAGCGCCGTGGAGGGCGCCTGGCGCTCCAGGGCGCCAGTGACGCGAAGTTTCTTCAATTTCGCCCCGGACACGGTTATTTCGGCCCTAAACCTACCAAATACGTATAAAAGCAAGACTAAACTTATTTGTGAAGGGGAGACGCCACTTTGGAGAGGGAATACACACAAGAAACATTCGGGAGCAAGAACATCTCAGATTTCTTCATCTTTTCTAGTATTTTCAATTATTTAAATTGTTTGCTAGTATCATGAGTGGCTAAAAAGCCATTGTTCTGGGATTGTGATTTAGCCATGAATATTGTTGTTTAACGTTAAAATAATTCACTAATATATGGTTGTTTCTTCAATTCTGTGATTAATTGCTTAATTGTCTGGCCATCAGTTAGGTTCTATTTACTATCTATGCTATGCTTGGGAAAGCCATGTTTAGATTAGAGAAGAATTGAAGAGAGCATGGGGGGAGGGGGGGGGGGCAAATTTGTGGTTAGGATAGGAATATACCTAGTCACCGTGCTTAATTAAATATCGTAATCTTAATGTGTTCTTAATAGATTGATTTCATAGGAATATAGGCGAGTAGCACTTCGGGAGAAGGCTATGAGAGGAATTATCGTTTAATTAGCAACCATGAGTGAATTGTATGAGAGGGAGAGTTAACTAGAAAACAATAAGATTAGTGAATCGATCAAAACCCTGGAATATTTGTCTCTATTGAATACATAATGATCATTCTACTGTTTGATAATTTAGTTATTACTTAGAATTGTAGGTTAGTATAATCACACTCTCAAACTCGAATTTAGCTTGACTGAATAACAATATTGGTGAGTTAGTAGGTAGTTGATATAAGTCTCTGTGGGTTCGACACTCGACTTATTATTTTATTACTTGTACGACCATGTATACTTGCGTGTGCGTTTGGGAGCAACAAGTTTTTGGCGTCGTTGCCGGGGACTTAAAAATTAGCTACTTTACTGACTTAAGCTTTTATTAGTTATTTGTTCAAGTTTTAATTTTCAGTCTACCTTATTTTTGTGTTAACACAGGCTCTTCTCTTGAATGCGGAGGAGTAGAAGCACAAACAATCTCCTTCCTCTTGATCCTGAATTGAACGAACACTTCACAGAGTAAGGAGGGAAGTCGAAGCTAGAACTAGAATAGAAAGAGAGTTGGACATCTTAGTTCAACCACAACCAATAGAGATGGCAGGTAATGCAGAGCGTGCGGTGATAGAAGTCGCAAGGCCCAATCTTGCTAGTATGACTCAGGCTATTGTGAAGCCTGAGATCACAGGGCATTTTGAACTCAAACAGTACATGGTACAACTGATTCAGTCCACAGGGCAATATGTGGGTCTATCTCATGAAGATCCACAGAGGCACATTCAGAATTTCTTGGAAATTACGGATACCTACAATTATCCGAACGTTTCCAAGGACTATGTGAGGCTGACACTTTTTCCCTTTTCACTGTTGGGGGAAGCTAAGGAATGGTTGCAGAAAGAGCCCGCGAACTCAATCCACACTTGGGATGATCTAGCAAGGAAATTCTTAATCAAGTTTTTCCCCACTAAGAAGACAAAGTCATTGAGGAGTCAGATTCTTGGGTTCGAACAACATGATGGTGAGACACTTCATCAAGCTTGGGAAAGATACAAGAAGCTACTCAGAGATTTCCCGCACCATTATCAGACTGATGAGGTATTGGGAGACACTTTTGTTAACAGGCTAGATGATGCCTCAAAGATGAATCTTGATTCAGCTTGTGGGGGTAGTTGCATGGCGAAACCGTATAGTGAAATCCAACTCTTGCTAAATAACTTCACTGCTAATGATCATAATTGGCAAGGAGATGGGGATTCACGAAAGGCAATTAAACAAAAAGCAGCAAGGTTGATTGAGCTTGATGATCTCTCAGCCATGAGAGCTGATATAGCAAATTGGCAAATCAGATGAATAGAATGACAATGCAACAAACACAACAGATGCAACATGTACAACAGATGTCTCTTTGCTGCGAACTATGTGGTGACAATCATATAAGTGACATGTGCCCCACGAATCCTAAATTCATATACTATGTGGGGCAACATAGCGGAGGTCCAATAAATCAGCATGCATAACATGGGAACACGTACAATCCAAATTGGAAGAATCATCCCAACTTCTCATGGGGTGAAAATTAGCCGAATCAAAATCATTATAGACCCCAAGGAAATTTCAATCAACCTCACAACCCACCCCAACAACACGAAGAGAGTACGAATGACTTGCTGAAGAAGTTGTTGCTTGACAATCGACAGCTCAGGACCGATTTTAGAAATCTTGAGAGGCAAATAGGGCAGTTAGCAGCAAATCAAAATACTAGACCTGCTGGAGCTCTGCCGAGTGATACTGAGCCTAATCCTAAGGCTCAAGTCAATGCGGTTACCTTGAGAAATGGAAGAGAATTAGAAGAAGTTCCAGAGAAAAAGAAGTATACAGCTAGAGCTGAAGGAGAATTAGTTCCTAAGCCCGTTGAGGAGAATAAGAAAGAAAAGCCAGAAATTGTGACAAGGCCACCACCTCCATTTCCACAAAGACTTCAAAAGCAAAAAGATGATGCTACGTACAAGAAATTCTTAGATAATTTGAGCCAAGTACGTGTGAATTTGCCTTTGGTGGAAATTTTGCAGGAAGTGCCTAAGTATGCAAGGTATCTTAGGGATATTGTGGCAAACAAGTGAAGACATACAGAGTTTGAAACAGTTGCACTTATTGAAGAGTGCAGTGCTAGAGTTCAGAGTAAGCTTCCTCCTAAGTTGAAGATCCGGAAGTTTCACAATTCCTCTATCTCTTTGAAAACAAGAAGTTGGTAGAGCTCTGTGTGATTTAGGGGCTAGTATAAATTTGATGCCATCCTCTTTGTTTGAGCAACTCGGATTGGGGTGCTTAAACCTACTACAATCACTTTGCAGTTGGCTGATAGATCACTAGTTATGCCAGAAGGAATTATTGAGGATGTGTTAGTTCGAGTGGGAAAGTTTATTCTTCCTGCTGATTTTATTGTTCTTGATTACGAGGCAGATGAGGAAGTGCCCATTATTTTGGGGCGACCATTCTTAGCTACTGGTGGAGCGATTATTGATGTGAGAGAAGGGAAGTTGAAGATGAGAGTTGGCGATGAGGAAATCACTTTTAATGTGTACAAGGCACTTAATCTCCCTAAGCATTATGAGGACTTGTGCATGATTACTGCGGTAGAACTGAAGGGGATAAAGCAAAGTCCTTATGCGAATTGTAGTGATTCGGATGGGATAACTGAATTGGAGGAGGTGGTGTTGCAAGCTGAGTGTGGAAGGATGATTTAGAAAAGAGCTAGAGATGAAAGAGGAGACCTTTCGAGAGTGTGCAAAACGGCTAGACTTCATGGGACAAAGAAGAAGAAGAGAAAGCGCCCAGCCTGAGCAGAGTAGCAAAGTCGTGCCACGACTATAAATAAGGCTCTTGTTGGGAGGCAACCCAGCTTGTATTTTTTATTTTTTTTATATAGTGTCAAGTTTCGTGTTGTTTTTGTTTTGCAGAGTAAGGTAAGTCTGAGTACCCAAAGTTGAAGTTGAGGAGCATGTTTGAGCTTAATTGTGGGGGTCGTCCGACCCTTAATATTGAGGATCATGTCCGAGCTAGGCCCGAGAGGGCCTCAGGGAATATTTCTCACCCCTGTTTTAATATTTTTCTCTATGATCATGCATCGAGGACTATGCATAATATAAGTGTGGGGTTGGGAAACTACTTTCTGAAGTGTAATTGTATAAAATTATTTTTTATTTAGTTTTTCTTTTAGAACTCGTAGTAGACATAGTCTAGGTAAAAAAACACGAAAATTGGAAAAAAATTTAAAAGAAGTTCGGACTTTTTCCGACGATGGATCTTTTGGACAATTTTCTTGAGGGATAAAAGTCCGATCAAAAATACCAAAAAAATTTTTTTTAGAATAGTTAGTAGTATTCCTTGGTTTTTCTTTGGGCACCGGTTCTTTTCCAAGGATGTAGCTCGAACCGGGTATTTTTGTTAGGAGTATTTTAGGAAGAAACTGAGTCGCTCCGAGATACTCGTTGACATGGTTGATGCTGGCACATTAGGCTATGACATACATTCTGTTTTCCCGTGTATTTGGTTTGAATTGTGAAGCCTAAGTAAAGTAAATAGCCTATTTTGTGACGCTCTCTCTCAGTTGTTTGACTTGTATGCCACATAGTGCAATGTTGCTTAAATTTCTCAATTATGTGTACTTGCTTGACTTGAGAGATGAACAGAGTCGTCTTCATTGAGTCATGTGCAACGTGTGTGTGAGGATTTGTGGTTTTCTGTGCTATCCTGTGTAGTCTAGAACTTGCCCCGTGGGTTAATTGAAGCAAAATTGTAAGTTGTGCTAATCTAGGAGATGACGTAGGCATTTTCTTGCTTGGTCATGGATGTGCTTGTCACATAAAAATAAAAAAATTCCGTTGCTAGCCCCTTTGAGCCTATAGACCTTTTCTTTGGTACCCACATTACAAGTCATACCCCTATTTTG